GTGGGCAGAGGCTCTGGAAGGGGGAAGAGCAAGGGGAGAAGCGAGGACATGATGCACTCATGGGAATGGGCGTGAAGAGACAGGAAGGGGGCAGATGCTTGGGGGTGGGGATGGGGATGGGAAGAGGTGGGGCCGGGGATGGAGGAAGAGGTGGAGTGAGAGCAGGGCTTAGTGATGGTGAAGGGTCAAGTATCCCCCAAGTGGGCAGAGGCTCTGGAAGGGGGAAGAGCAAGGGGAGAAGCGAGGACATGATGCACTCATGGGAATGGGCGTGAAGAGACAGGAAGGGGGCAGATGCTTGGGGGTGGGGATGGGGATGGGAAGAGGTGGGGCCGGGGATGGAGGAAGAGGTGGAGTGAGAGCAGGGCTTAGTGATGGTGAAGGGTCAAGTATCCCCCAACTAAAGCAGAAGTTGGTTGATGCCTATGATACCCACCACTGTATCAAAGAACTTCATCTTCTTCATTTACATTAAATGCAGTGGAGCCTGTAAGCTCAAACACGAGTATCTTAATTCATTCTATTTATGTAGTGTACAGAAGACCAGAAGCCTTCCTATACACTTTACTGGGAACTATTTATCCTTTTTTTGGCCAGTGATAAAGACTGAAGTTTTCTACAAATTACCCACATGAAATTCTTATTGCACTTAGTGACCTTCCAAGCCCAGATTATCAAAATCCTTTATATGTTATTAAAGAGGTTTTAAGTTTTTAAGTTTTACTTCAAAGTTCAAAGGATACTTTAAATGTTTGCCTTCAAAAAGTCTTGTGTACCGATATCAGAACCACTTTCACAATATGTTCTTGAAGTGTGAATCAAGTCTGTCTAGGACACATAGGGTATGTCTACATTTCATTCCTCTCTCTCTCTCTCGGAATGGAAATGCAGACATCCAAAATTGCAAATGAAGCGGGGATTTGAATATCCCACGCTTCATTTGCATAATTGCATTATGGCGCTATTTCAAAATAGCGCTATTTCGAGAGAAAAAACGGGATTATTTCAAGATAAAAGACATCCCTTGAAATAACCCTTACTCCTCAAAAAATGTTTGAGGGTTATTTCGAGGGAAGAGTTTTATCTCGAAATAACCCTGTTTTTTCTCTTGAAATAGTGCTATTTCGAATAGTGCCATGATGCAATTATGCAAATGAAGCGTGGGATATTCAAATCCCTGCTTCATTTGCAATTTCGGGTGTCTGCATTTGCATTCCTCTCTCTCTCGAGGAATGAAATGTAGACATACCCTTAGGGTACGTCGACACAGCAACATTATTTTGAAATAACTAGTGTTATTTCGAAATAACTTAGTCCGCATCTACACAGCAGGCAGTTATTTTGAAATACTGCCAAAATACTCTTAAACTGGAGGATTTCTTACTCCAATTCCTACAACCCTCATTGCACAAGGAATAAGGGAAGTCAGAGGAAAAGTGCTCTATTTTGAAATAAGTGCTGTGTAGATGCTCCCAATTTTGAAATAAGCTATTTTAAAATAAGCTACGCAATTGACGTAGCTCAATTTGTGTAGCTTATTTCAAGTTAAGCCCTGCTGTGTAGATGCACCCTTATATGGCCTTTATTCTGTAATATCTGAGCAACTCATATTTTTTTAATATATTTAACTTCTTCAAAGGCCTGTAAGGTAGAGAAGTCAGAATATATTTTAGTGCAGTGTTTTTTGCACCTTCTTAATTTTTTAAATGTTTATTTCTTTCATTTTCAGTGACATAAATCATTTTATGGCATGGAGACAGAATAAACTAATATTGCTGCAAAATTTGGTCCCACTATGCTATAGAGTATATGAGGCCCTCCACATACACACATCATTGTCATCATCGCCTGATAACAATGCCAAGGTTGTTGGTTTTGGTGCCTGGACAGCCAGCCATCTCAAGTATAGACTCACTTTACAGATGGGGAACTAAGACACAGATTAGTGACTTGCCCAACATCATACCAGAAATCCACAGTAGAGCAACGACTTGAACCCAGGACTTCTGTGTCCCTAACCCCAGGCCATCCTTCCTCTCTTTTACATACACACAGACATGCATGCACACTCTTGAAGTTTTCATTCGGATGTTAAAATAAAACAGAACAGACATTTAACAGAATAATTTCTGAACAAATGAAATGTGAGAGATGCTTATTAGAAATGAAACAATTCATTCATAAGGTTGTAAATACCTTCTCACCCGGAGAACCTGGAATGCCAATCCCTGGAATACCTGACTCTCCTTTTTCTCCCTTTTCACCTGGTAATCCAGGGAATCCCGGCTGACCTGCTAAGCCTGGCACACCTGGCACGCCTTTTTCTCCGGGTGTTCCTAACAATACAAAAATATTAAATCTGTGGCAGCCTAGCAATATAGAATGACTGTACAAGCTAGTAATTAAAAATAAGCAAGAACCTAGGCTATGTCTACACTATGGAGTTTTTCTGGGATACTGGAGGTATCCCGGAAAAACTCTGCCATGTCCAGGGAATGCATCTGCTCTTCCAAAAAAATTTTTGCAAGAGCAGATGTGCTCTTTTGGAAGCCCCATATTCCTCATTTTATGAGGAATAAGGGCTCTTCCAAAAGATGAGGTGTTTCCGACTTTTGGCCCTGTGTAGATGGGCCAAATGTCAGAAAAGCGTCTTCCAAAAAAAATCTGAAAAAGGGATGCAAATTGCAAACTGCAATTTGTATATCTTTTTCTGAAAAAACTCCAGCAGCGTAGACATAGCCCTAGACATCTAAGGAAATTAATTGTTTTGGTATTTTTCATAAAGAGCAACTAACAAATACACTAGTAATAGGCCTACCTGATCAATGGAACCAGAGTGATTTCCAGGTTACCTATCATGTCTAGAAACAATTTAGTAATTAGAATAGTTTGCCTACTCAGGTGATAATGTCCTCCTAAATATGAGAAAATACAGGACTGGAACAATGGGAACCAGAGGGCATTCACTGAGATGCACTTTTTCTTTCTCTCGCACAATCATCTCAAAGGCCAATTTTAATTAACAACAAAAATTAATTAATCAATAATTCAAGAGAATAGAATTTGGATGAGAAATCAGCCAGCTTTGATATTACTGATTATTTTGGCATCCAATCTTGTTTCTTTGATTTCTCATATATGATAGGTACAAACTAATAGCCAATTTTAATTGATGTAGAGTTTCCTGTTAAGATTGATTCCTCCCATTTCTCTATTTAAAAAACACCCCCAAAACAGAGACTGTCACTAGGATACTACACATCTATCACAGCTGGATGCATTCCAACTTTATGACACAGTCTATCATGAAGATACATACAATTTTCAAAACCAGTGTCTGATTGTACGTGCATATTGCATATGTGTGATATTGAAAATAATAATTGTGCCTAAGAGTTTGTCAGCATACATAAATCTGAGATTTAATGCAGAATTTGGGAATCCACACTCAGGCTTTGTCCACCCTGCCGGCTGCACTTTTGCTGTTTTGCACAAAAATGGCATGAATAAATTATGCAAATGACACATGGCAAAATGCTAATCCACACTTCATTTGCATAGGCTCTGCCGGCAAAGCCGACAGAGTAGAAGTAGCCTCAAAGATTTGTCTTCATATTGGCGCAGGAGTGAAAACCAAAGGCATGGAGACCAGATTTTCAGGTAGTGGCATAGTTCCATTGAATTCAGTGGAGCTATACTGATCTATGTCAGCTTAGATCTTCACCTGACTTCAATGAATCTACACTGATAGGGTATGTCTACACTGCTACCCTAGTTCGAACTAGGGTGGCTAATGTAGGCATTCGAAGTTGCAAATGAAGCCCGGGATTTAAATATCCCGGGCTTCATTTGTATCTTGCCGGGCGCCGCCATTTTTAAATCCCCGATACTGCGGACTCCGTGCACGCGGCTACACGCGGCTACACGCGGCACGAAGTAGGTAGTTCAAATTAGGCTCTCTAATTCGAACTACTGGTACACCTCGTTCCACGAGGAGTAACGGTAGTTCGAATTAGAAAGCCTAATACCAACTACCTACTCCGTGCCGCGTGTAGCCGCGGGCACGGAGTCCGAACTACCGGGGCTTTAAAAATGGCGGCGCCTAGGTAGTTCAAATTAGGCTCTCTAATTCGAACTACTGGTACACCTCGTTCCACGAGGAGTAACGGTAGTTCGAATTAGAAAGCCTAATACCAACTACCTACTCCGTGCTGCGTGTAGCTGCGGGCACGGAGTTTGCACTAACGGGGTTTTAAAAATGGCAGCGCCTGGCAAGATACAAATGAAGCCCAGGATATTTAAATCCTGGGCTTCATTTGCAACTTCGAATGCCTACATTAGCCACCCTAGTTCGAACTAGGGTGGCAGTGTAGACATACCCACAGATATCAACTAAGAATCCAGTCTTAAATATTTTGGCCAGTGGGTTGGCAAATCTCTATTGTTAAATAAAGGAATAATGTGAAACTGAATAGATTCAAAATTCAATCTACATTCCATTGATGCAAGTTAACCCTAACTACATAATGTGACCACTAATATAGCAATCCTTGCTGTTTATTTGAACTGTCATGTCATTTTCTGGATAAATTTTTTGGATAAACTATCTTTTTCAAACTTATCTTTTTTTAAAAAAAATATACAGTTCATTTTGGATACGATAAACTGTTCAGAGACTTAGAAGAAAAAATAATTTGAATAATTTATCCCTTTGTTACAGAAGCAGTGCTACAGCCTTTACTGCAACTGTACAATAATGTGAAACAACCATCTTTTGAAACAACTGCCTCAAGAGGCGAAAGATAGTTCAAGTTTTTGTGTCTTTTGGGTTCTTGGTCTCTCTGGGTATGTTTAGACTACCTGGCTCCATCGACGGAGCCATGTAGATAAGTTTACTAGACATAGGGAAATGAAGCAGCAATTTAAATAATTGCTACTTCATTTACATCAAAATGGTCACCGCTCTGTGCCGATCAGCTGTTTGACGGCACAGCACAGTAGTCTAGATGCACCGCGGTCGACAACGGAAGCCTTTGTCAACTGCCTCAGTAAACCTCATTCCATGTTGTCGACTGCGGAGCATCCAGACTACCGCGCTGTGCCGCCAAACAGTTGATCGGCACAGTGTGGCAGCCATTTTGATTTAAATGAAGCATCGATTATTTAAATCGCCGCTTCCTTTGGGTATGTCTAATAAAATAAACTAAAAGATTTAAATCGCCGCTTCATTTCCCTATGTCTAGTAAACTCATCTACATGGCTCTGTCGACGGAGCCATGTAGTGTAGACATACCCTCTGTTCAGACTTACAACAACAGTGCAGATATGATGTAGCCATTTACTTATTCACTAAAATGTGAACGGAGACAATCAGCTCTTTTCACAGAAGATACTGCATGAATGTCAGATAGCAACTTATTCTGCAAATTCTGAGGACGTGTGCAGCCAGTGCCACACACTGCAGTGCATTCTTATATGTGGCCGTGAAAGGCTTTGGCAGCAGGGAAAGATTCCAGCAGCCAGTAGAGAGTTGCCAGAGTCTTTCCCTGCTGCTTCATTCCTGCCAGAGCTTTTCTTTACTGACAGTCTTCCCTTGAGCCAGAGAAGGACTCTAGCAGTTCCCAGTCATGGGGAAAGGTTCCAGCTGTCACTCCAGAGACTTTCACTGCAGGGAGGAAAGATTCCAGTATGGGACATTACACTGCTAAAAACAGCAGTGTAGATGAGGGAGGCACTTTTTCCATATGTTGAGAGCTGTGTAGGGTACATACCCTAAGGTTCTGGCATGTCTTTACTGCACTTACATAAGAGGTGCCTTACCATCTACACCACTATTTATACCTTCATTGGGGGGCATGCAATGCATGTACTCTACATTTCACCATAAGCACAGACATAGCCTTAGTCACTACTGAGGTGGGCCATATTTAAACAAGTGGCAAAAGGACACAATCCCCTTCAATATCTAACTGCAAATAACAGTGTTTAACAAAAAAATCTTCTGTGGCTGGGCACTAACAATAATTATTTTTAACATCAGGGATTTTAGGGCCAGAGTGTGGGCAGATATAGGAGCACTGTTTCCTACACCCTGTGGAGCCTTTCATCTCAGGTGAATAAACATCTCAGTTCCAGGCAGAAGGAGAGAGGGAACAGGAGCAGTGTGTCCAGAGTTGAGGAATGAGTGAGCAGAGTGTGGACTCTGTCCCACCACTACAAACTGCTGGCCTGCAAAGCTGAGGCAGCACAAGGCAGGATGTGACCTGCACCCATTTCAGGGAAGATATTCCCCTCTGAAGTAAGAAGGAGGACTCAGTCACACTTTCTTCTGTGGGCATCTCTCCTGGGGTGGCACAGCTATTGGCCACTGATTAAAGGCTCAATCTATCGCTAATATATTAAGATCTGTGTTTCCTTTACTATTTTGAACCGTCACTCATCACACACATCTTTGTGAAGGTCATCTCTCAATGAGCAAAGTTCTCAATATGTGGTACCTGGCAAACCCATTTCTCCAATTGTCCCTTTTGGTCCTGGAAATCCTGGGTCTCCTGGGTATCCTGGAGGGCCTTGATCACCTTTTCGTCCTACAAACAACAAGACATATTACAAGTTTCATTACAAGGATTACAAGAGTCTGTGCTAGCTGCATTTATTATAAGCTGCAAACATACCTGGAAGTCCTGGGAGGGCAGGTAGGGCAGGTTAATCCCCCGGACTTCCCCTTTCTCCTGTTTGTCCTTCTTGTCCTAGATACCATAAAACAAAACGGATTTTCATTTCTGTTAATTTTTCTTTCACATGTAACGTAGTAGGCAAAGCCTGCATTGTGAGAATTGAAAGATTAATTCAATCTTCAGATGTAATGCAGTAATATTGTAAGAGTTTTCTAGCAGACCCACTACATACATGTTATCAAAATCAACTGCACGTAATCATGGCACTGGCTTTCTTTTGTAACATATGTGGCAAGATATGTCTTTAAATGGAGCATGGAAAGAAACATACTATATAATGAATGAAAACAAATAACCAACGGGGCTGACAGCCACTGCAGGCTGTAGGGCAAGACGTGTGGGAGGCTGGCTCTGTGACCCTGAAAGGGGTGGAGCTTTGTGAGGAAGGGGTGGGGCCAAGGGCAGGCAGCCCTCAGTGTCACCCCTGTTCCACATGGCTCTGGCAGCACACTCTCACCCCTCCCCCAGCTGCCAGAGCCATGTGGAACAGTGCTCTGGCTCTCCCGCAGCAATTCAAAAGGGCTTGAGGCTCCAGCTGCTGCCGCTGCTGCAGTGGTGCTGGGAGTTCTGGGCCCCTTTGAATTTCCAGGCTCCAGAACAATTGTTCCATTGTCCCCACTTCCTCCATCGGCGGGCCTGCGAATAACCTATTGTTAATTAGGTTAATATGTAATAAGACACCAGTGTCAGGTTGCAACATAAACCTCTGAGCAACTATTTTGCTGTGTAAGCAGGTAACTGAACGGTTTGTGTTATGAACAAGAGGCAACTTGACTGACCTCCTCTACGTTGACTCAAATGTGTTGGCTATCTTGAATTACATAACTTTAGACCATCATCAAAGTGGTCCCTTATGCTATTACCCACTGTGTAAGTGTAGTGCCCCATTTCTCTCTGAAGACACAAAATGAAGACAGTTCCAAAGGAACTGACAATCTTATAGAGCAGGGGTCGGCAACCTTTTCAAACCAAAGAGCCAAACTACATCAAAATTCAGAACAAGTGGTTAACAAAAAGCCAGTATAAGAATGCACATTTGAAGGGATCGCCGAATCACGGCGTGCCCTGCTCGCCAGCCGCGCCCTGCTCGCCAGTCATGCTGTCCGGCGATCTGCGCATGCGTAGATTGTTCTGCTCATGCACAGATCACCCGAACCCAGCTCTTCCGGGTTACAATCTACTTGCCACGGGCGAGTAGATTGTATTATTTGTCGAGCCCTGCTCATTTGCATGACTGAAAATATACAACTTAATATTATTGATAATTGACATGATGATTAATAGTAGCATACATAAAACGAACTCACAGACTCTATTAATGGGACTTCTGCTTCCACAGGGGGTGCAGTTGGTAGATGTGGGGGTGCAAGAGTAAGGGTTGGGCTATATGAGGGATTTCAGGGCAGGGGCTGGAGTGTGTGGGATGTGCAGGAGGCAGGGCACTGGGGGTGGAGGGTATGGGGGGCAGCAGTGGCTGGATGAGGGCCTGGGCCAGGATCATGACAGCTGGATCACAGCCTCACCTTCCACCCATGCTGCAGCAACAGGAGGGCTGCCACCGCCATCCCTTCCTGTGGCCAGCTGGGAGCCAGACCACGGGGCCTGTCCCAGGATCAGGGCTGGGGACAGGACCCTGCAGTTAGATGAGGACTGGGCTGGCCACTTTTACTTTCTCATGTTAGTTTATCAAACTTCATTTTAAATGAAGTAAAATCAGCCTCGCCTTCCACCCATGCTGCAGCAACAGGAGGGCTGCCACCGCCATCCCTTCCTGTGGCCAGCTGGGAGCCAGACCACGGGGCCTGTCCCAGGATCAGGGCTGGGGACAGGACCCTGCAGTTAGATGAGGACTGGGCTGGCCACTTTTACTTTCTCATGTTAGTTTATCAAACTTCATTTTAAATGAAGTAAAATATTATGTCCTATACACAAGGTTTCAACATTGTCTTTATTTATGGCAGGGGCCGGGAACCTTTTTTGAGTCGGGGTCACTGACCCACAGAAATATCAGTCAGGGACCACACAAGCGAGAAGCAAAAAACAACTCCTTCAAAAGCCCCCAACCCTCCACCGATGTGTTTCCCCAACTGAGACACCTCACTCCTTTAGCATGCCAGACCCATGGGGGGAAAGGGAAGGCAGGGAGGACTGAGGTTCAAGGCCTCAGGCCAGATTAACTCTTCTGGGGTTCCAGGGTTGGTGGATTTTGTGGGCCTCCCTAGGGCTCTGGGGTGGGGCCAAAAATGAGGGGTCCAGTGTGTGGGAGAGAGCTGCCAGTGAGTGGGATAGGGATGGGGTACAGGATCTGGGTGGGAGGTAGGCTGCTGGAGCAGGCTGGGAGGAGGGGGTCTGACCAACTGAGACACCTCACTCCTTTAGCATGCCAGACCCATGGGGGGAAAGGGAAGGCAGGGAGGACTGAGGTTCAAGGCCTCAGGCCAGATTAACTCTTCTGGGGTTCCAGGGTTGGTGGATTTTGTGGGCCTCCCTAGGGCTCTGGGGTGGGGCCAAAAATGAGGGGTCCAGTGTGTGGGAGAGAGCTGCCAGTGAGTGGGATAGGGATGGGGTACAGGATCTGGGTGGGAGGTAGGCTGCTGGAGCAGGCTGGGAGTAGGGTGTCTGGCCAGGGGACAGAGTGCAGAATCAGGTTCGGGGGTTGGTCTGGCCAGGGGGGATGGTACAGAAGCATGCTGGGGGTAGGATCTCTAGCTGGGAAGGGCATGGGGGATGCAGGGTCTGGGCAGCACTTGCTTTTGTGCCCTGTGCTGACTTTATGCTCCTTGACCCAGGCTTCCCGCGGCTCTGTCAGTCAGATTCTGGCCAAAGAAGCAGCAGGAAAAGCCTCTAGGCAGCGTGTCTGTGTGCTGCTGTTCTCCCAGACAGGAGAACAGGAGAGAGAGTGCATGGCTCCGCTTCTTCCCTGATCACACAGCGAGGCTTGGGGTTTTCCCCAGCCTCTACCCCGCAGGAAGCTGGTGCTGGTTCCAATCTTGTGCAGAGCACAAAGCTGGAGTGCCAACATGGGCTCCATGTTGCAGGGAGAAGTAAGGGGATGATTGAGCTCAAGATGAGAGCCATATTTGGCTCGTGAGCCATAATTTGCTGACCCCTGTCACAGAGAAATGGAGAAGAGAGCACATAGAGAAAAACCCACAGGAAGGAGTCACTGGCTAGGTCTAGACTACAGTCCTTTGTCAGATAGCTTTTCTGAAAGAGGCTTTTCTGCCATTTAGCCCCGTTTAGATGGGGCCAATCAATGGAAAAGCCTTCTCTTTTTCCTCAGAGAACAAGGTATACAGGGATCACAGAAAGCGTACACTTGCTCTTTCACACACACACAAAAAAGTAGAAGAGCAAATGCATTCTCTGGACACCCAGATGAGTTTTTCTGGGATACCTCCGGACATACCCAGAGTGAATTAGATCTTTTTATTTTTATATCTTGTTGGTTGATTCAATTCTTGTTATCATTCAATTAATTAGTCTTAATGAGGAATCTGTTACTAGAAAATAGCTACTGAATTTTTTTAAACACAAAGATTTGTTGAAAATTTGCTTTTGTTTAAAATTGAATTTATTCAGTGAACATTGTTGAAAATGTTCATCATTCACAAAAAACGTGCCTTCTACCCAACATTTGTGTTAAACAAAACTATCAGAAATGTCACTGAAAAGGAAAAGGTCACCAACAGCTTTTCATTTACTGAAAATGGATTAGTGTTAAAACTATAAATTTCCATAACAATTTTAATACTATTTTGATAACAAAATAAACAAAAATTTAAAAGATGCATCAAAAACACCATAACTTTGGATTTTTTCAAAACCTTTGAAAGGAAAACAACTTTGACATTAAATTTTTTTTACAAACTAGTGTTCTAAGTTTTTGATCAGCTATTGTGGTTCCTGCATACACACTTAAAATATTTCTTCTATTATAAGATTATTCTGGTTCAAGAGCTATTGCATGTATTTAAAATGGGAAAGATGATTGGTAGAAGCACTGATTTTCTGCACACCTGTAGACAATTTTTTAATTGCCACTGGATACCATAATGACACCTTTTCCTAGGGAGAGCTGAAAGAACTTGGAAATAAATGCTTAGTTTGCTCTGTGAGGTTCGTATATTTTAATTTTTGAAAGCTTGTTTCCTAAAGCCAAGATATAACTGAGGACAAATACTAAGCATCACCTTTAATACATAATGGATAAAAAACAGAACTTATTGACATGTAAATATTAAAGGTTACCTTTTTCTCCTTGGTCTCCTTTTTGGCCTTTCAAATTGTTCATGTCTACTTCAGTCATTTTTCCTGGCTTTCCTGGTAGACCTGCTTCACCTTTATCCCCTTTGAAACCAGGATCACCTCGTGCCCCTGACGTACCTGGAAAACCTGAAGAACCTGCACAGAGAGAATACCAGGTAGAACACCACTGTAATGTATGAAGTGTTACAGATCTATCCAAAACATAGACTCATAGAAAACTAGGGTTAGAAGAGATTTCGGGAGTTCATCTGGTCCATCCCCCTGCTTCAAGCAGGACAAACTCCAACTAAATCATCCCAGCCAAAGCTTTGTTAAGTCTGGCCTTAAAAAATCACTAAGGATGGAGAATGCACCTTTCAAACCGAAAACAAATGTAGTACTAATTCAGTCTCTGCATTAAGGGACCGAGATTTACCTCCACTAGCACAGGATGGGACATTTTTACTCCACGTTCCCATGGAGTAGCTGTGTTGCAAGGCAAGTTGAGTTCTGCCAGGCAGAAAGCTATAGTAATTTATGACCTGGGCTCCACAGCAGCCCTGCATAAGGCAGTGGCCTGTGAGGATGTTTAAATCAGTACATTTTTTGGTGAAGTGGCCTCTCCATTTTCTAACCTACTTGATCCCAGAAGAATGGGATTAAGATTGTAAGGGAAATTCTGTTACTGTCATTCCCTTTCCTAGCTTCCTTCATCAGATACAATGTGCCCAACATTCACATGGGGGCACCTTATTCTAACACCTCCATGCAGAAGTGAAAGTAACTTAAAATTCTTAAGGTACTAGCCTATTCCAACCTGGGTATCTGTCAGTTCTTTAAATAGCTCCCCACTGGCTTTTGCTGGAGCTGGACACCAGGGCACGCCAGTTTACTTTCACCTCTGACACTATGTCAAAGTCTGAGACAATCTAATAACATTCTTTTCAGAAGTTTTTTTTAAACCCTCTAGGCCAGCGGTTCTCAACTGATTTACCATTGTGGGATGCACATGTTAAAATATAAAGTTTAAAGGAGTGTTAAATCCTTCCTGTAGATAGTTCTAGCCATTCCATAGGATTCTATAATTAAATTTGCTTAGCACAGTGGTTCTCAACATGCTACCCATGGGCCACTTATGGCCCAGCCACCTCACAGCTGTACAGCCCTAAGAATGTCACATGGGTCTCAGCTCTGAGCTGGCTGGGCCATAAGCGGCCTATGGGTAGCACATTAAGAATCACTGTGCTATCCAAATTTAATAATAGAATCCTATTGGATGGCTAGAACAATCTAGAGGGAGGATTTAATGCCCCTTCTAATTTTTTTTTTTTTGACAACTAGTAGTCCTGTGCAGGGATGTTAAATTTAGTTTGATCAATTAATCGACTGAATAAATAGATAGAATTTCCACTGACTAGTTGATTAGTCGGTAAGTGGGGGAGCCACAGCAGAGTTAGCTCTTGGCCCCAGGAGCTAGCCCCACTGCGCCTCTGCCTTTTAAATGTATTAAGAGCCAGTAGATTCTTAATACATTCAAAAGGCTGAAACGCAGTGTGGAGGACCCGGCACAAACTGGGACAGCTGATTCCCAGATCGCGTCAGGTTTCCCATGCTGTGCTCCAGCCTTTTAATTGTATGAAGAGCTCTTGGGCTCTTAATACATTTAAAAAACAGAGGCGCAGTGTCTGAGACTGGGCGCGTTCCATGAGGAGTAACGGTAGTTCGAATTAGAAAGCCTAATTTGAACTACCTACTCCGTGCCACGTGTAGTCGCGGGCACGGAGTCCGAACTACCAGGGATTTAAAAATGGTGGCGCCCAGCAAGATGCAAATGAAGCCCGGGATATTTAAATCCCGGGCTTCATTTGCAACTTCAATTGACTACATTAAACACCCTAGTTCAAACTAAGGTGGTAGTGTAGACATACCCTCAGAGACTAACAAAAATATATATAGTATCATGAGTGTTCATGGGCAAAATACACTTCTTCAGATGAGTTGGAAGCTGGACTGGAAATAATGGGAACTCAGAATTTATAACAGAAAAATAAAGGAAAGAAAAAAAAAGTTACCAGTCAATAGTGGTATCATGGCTAATGAGACTAATTGAATGGGCTGGAAGTGTCCCATACTTAGTTTTTGATGAAAATGAGGTGTTAAATGCACAGAAGGCTGGTTTTTGGAGAATTTTTGGAGACATTTCTACAGAATCCTCTCTGATTTGACCCTGTTCTTTTGTGGAACAAAAACTCCGGCAGCGTGGGAGACCTATTCTCAGTGTCCAGCTTTGCTAATATGGTCACTCAAGTCAAAACAACATACACTTCAGCCTACGCCTACTCCCCAGACATGACAATTTCCAAGACCTTGTCTTCACTAGGAAAAGAAAAAAGATGTCTTCATGTTAAAATTGCTGGCTACGTCTAGACTGGCATGATTTTCCGCAAATGCTTTTAATGGAAAAGTTTTCCGTTAAAAGCATTTGTGGAAAAGAATATCTAGATTGGCACGGACGCTTTTCTGCAAAAGCACTTTTTGCGGAAAAGTGTCCGTGCCAATCTAGACGTGCTTTTGCGCAAAAAAGCCCCGATCGCCATTTTCACGATTGGGGCTTTTTTGCGTAAAACAAATCTGAGCTGTCTACACTGGCCCTTTTGCGCAAAAGCTTTGCGCAAAAGGGACTTTTGCCCGAACGGAAGCAGCATAGTATTTCTGCAAGAAGCACTGATTTCTTACAGTAGGAAGTCAGTGTTCTTGCGGAAAGTCAACCGGCCAGTGAAGACAGCTGGCAAGTTTTTCCGCAAAAGCAGCTGCTTTTGTGGAAAAACTTGCCAGTCTAGACACAGCCATGATGTAACCAAGGCAGTTGCACTTTTAACATGTGTTAGCTAGTCATGGTTAAACCATAGTAGTGGAGCCTATGCTTTATCTTGGCCTGTTAACACATGTCAAAAATACATTTATTTTCTTAGTGTGGTCATGCCCTGGAAAATGCTCAGCTCCAGTCTCTGGTTCCCACTGATCTGTTATTTATGTTGAAGTTAATGAGCCATGTCTTCAACAGTGGGTCAGCATGAACTACTCAGCAGCTCCCTGCAAGGTTCTAACACTAGCTAATAGGGCGGAGATAAAACCAGACACCTGCTACTCTTTTACAAAATTAAAACTTCTATAAAACCTGTTCATTTCTTATAGAGCTTTACGTTAATGTATAGGACAGCTATCCCATAAACAGATACTCAGACTAACGCATGTGAGGTACCAATTTAAGAATTCTGGGACAGGAATGACCCATTACTGTTGAAAACAGTTTAAAAAGTCAGTGTCTACAATATATTTAGAATTTGTGCTCTCAGTTGTTCAGTGCAGAGGTGACAAAGTCTTCCTAGAAATGGGGGTAGGCCACAAGGTCATGTCCCCTCTATAGCCCCATCCCTGCTCCACCTCTTCCCCCTAAGGGCCTGTCCCTTGACAAAACTGGATATTGAAGCCTAGCTGCGAAGCCCTAGCCCATCCACCTGCCCAGAATGGGGTGGGGAAGAGCAATCCCCAGCTCAGGTTTCCGTTCCCTTAGTCCTCCCACCCAGGGCAGGTGGGGTATTTCTACACTACAGCACTAATTCGAACTAACTTAATTTGAATTATTTAATTCGAACTAAGATAATTTGAATAAGTGCATCTAGACCTAAAAACTAGTTCGAATTAGCATTTTGCTAATTCGAACTAGCATGTCCACATTGAGTGGACCCTGAACCGAGATTAAGGATGGCCGGAAGCAGTGCCGGCAGGGCATCAGATTAGGACTTAGAGTGTGGAGCTGCTGTCTCAGGCTAGTCGAGGGCTGTGCTTAAAGGGACCCGACCCCCACCCTGGACAGACAGTTCTCAGGGGTTCCCCGCTTGAAAAGCAGTCCTGGCTTGGAGTGCCCTGAGTGCCCACACTGGGCACATCACACCACTCGGCCATCAGCCCGGCTGCACTTGCCGCAGGCTGCCATCCGGG